TTTCTCCATGGACATGGGCAGTGGCAAAGGCATACCGGCTATCAGTGTACACATTAAGCTTCTTACCTGTTGCCATCTGGAGAGCCTGAGTCAGAGCAAAGGGTTCAGCTCGCTGAGCAGAGGTGCCTCCTGGGAGTGCAGTGGCCCATATGACCTCTGAGGCATTTGTCACTGCAGCCCCTGCCTGTCTCTCACCATTTAGCAAGTAGCTGCTGCCATCCGTGAACCAGGTGTATTCTGCATCTTTCAAGGGCTGATCAGGCCACATTCCATGCATCTCTGCAAGGATCTGCTGACAGTCATGGGAGGCTGGTTCCTCCAGCAGTGGTAACAAGGTGGCTGGGTTCAGGGTTATTATTAGGGGTGGCTGTTGTATGGCCAGCCCATGCCCCCTGTTTCTGCCCAGGCCAGGGGGTGTTGTTTTAACCATAAGTCCATTCCTTCCTGCTGTTCAGGAGGCTTTTTAAAAAGTCTATATTCATTTTTCAATTGTAAAGTCAATATTTTAAGTGGAGCCCCTTGTGGGCCAGAGACTTTAGCTCCTGGTCCTTCAAAATGGATCTGGGCTTTTAATTTAGTCAGTAGATCTCGACCCAGTAATGGATATGAACAGTCCGGTACATGCAAAAAGGAATGTGAGACTTTACCTGATGCGAGATGAACTTTTCTCTCCGTGGTCCATCGGTATTGTTTTTTTCTGGTGGCTCCTTGTACCCAAGCTGTTTTGGTACTCAATGGCCCGTTCGTTTCGGTGAGAACTAAATGTTGGGCTCTAGTGTCCACCAGGAAGGTGACTAGCTGCCCCCCGACTCTTAAGGTTAGCCTGGGCTCAGGGGGGGGGGGCTCCTGGCCCCGACTGCCCTAGTCTTCATCTAGGGCTAGAAGCTGAGTTGGTCTTTGGGGTCCGTCCCCATGCCTCTGATTTTTAGGTCTCTTAGGGCAATCTTTGACCCAATGGCCTTTTTCTTTGCAGTAGGCACACTGGTCTCGATCTACCCTGGGCCTCCTTTTTTTTTTTTTTTTCCTTTTCTGACTTCCTGCACTATGATTATTCTGAGCTACAGTGGCCAGGATTTTGCTTAATTCTCTCCGGTTCCTATGATCCCTCTCTCTCTCTCTCTCTCTTTCTCTCTCTTTTTTTTTTTCTCTCTTTTTTTTTCTCTTTCCCCCCTCTCTTTTTTTTCTCTCTCTCCTTTAGCTCCTTCTTAAACTTGTCCTCTCTTTCCTCCTGCAACTTTCCTAGTCTTTTTTTTTTTTTTAATCTCAGGTGTTTCTCTCTTTTTAAAGATCTTTTTTGCTTCCTTTACGAGATCCTGCAGGCTATAATCTTATAAATTATCTAGTCTCTGCAACTTAGTCCTAATATCTGGAGCCGACTGCCAAATGAAAGCCATAGAAACATTGCCCCTTTGCTCGTTACTATCAGAATCAAAGGGTGTATACATACGGTAGGCTTCCTTTAGCCTCTCCAAAAATGCAGTCGGAGTTTCCTCCGGTCCCTGGGTTATCTGTCTTACCTCAGCCAAATTCCTGGGACAGCGTCCCAGGCCTGCGGAGACCCGCTGTGAGTAACTGGCTATAAAGTCGTAGGTGTTAAAGTCCCAGCAGGGACGATTTAGGGGAAAAATTTCCTCAATTTTATTTGGCAACTGAGTGGGCTTTTTTATCATCCTCTAAGACGGTTTCTCCCAGGAAGATGCGTTGTTATTTTTTTTTTCCCCCCGAGGTTAGGAGGACCTGCAAAAGCCATATTCAAGTAGGTTAGAGAGCTACAGGGTCTTTGGAGAAGGAGGGGTTGTTAGATTTTTCAATTATAAAGGTTGGACGCCAAGAAAGACCAGTATTGAAATTGAAATTGCCCTCCTAATCCAGCAGCCTGGCGCAGGGGAAAGGCTCAGCAGGTTCCTTCGGTGGCTGGCTCCCTTTGATCTCGGAGTCAGCTGGCTACCGGGGAGTCCAACACAGTTTTTTTTCCTTTAACCAACTGATTGTGAGCTCGGCTCTGTACATCATCAATGATCTAAAATAAACTTAAGGGGGTGGTTAAAGATTGTTTCATATTTTCTTCGAAATAAAGAATCAGACAGATAAACAGAACAGACAAAACACATAGACAGCCGGCACAAAGACACGCTGCGCGTTTTCGGCCGTAAAACCGAAACCAGATACTGAGTTGGAGGCACAGAGGATCTTAAGCCCCCTGGCCCCCCCAAAACCACGAATCCCTGGGACTCGTTGTGGGCCCCGAAAAATCGGGTGCCCCAGATCCCTGAGACGTCTCCCAGGGTGGCGGGTAGAAGTCCGAGCTCGTCAGCTCCTTCTCAAGCCGCCTACAGACTCGACTAGCCTAGCCGATTACCGATCGCTGCGCAACAAGCAACAAGTAAAAGACATATGAACAAGACAACAAAGAACAGAAATTAAGCGCTGGCCAGCTTACCTCCCGGTGGGTGTCAGTGTCAGTCTCTAGGGGGAAGGGTCTCCAATCTCGGTGGAACCTCCAATGAAAGACCCCCAGAGACCCCAAGAGTTTGGAGCCTGTCAGGGGGAAGGCCCTTGCCCCCAAGAGACGAGACCAGACCACTGGATGCAAGTGCAAGAGGTTGTTTATTGTTTACACAGGTACCTGTGGACGCTTCAGTCTTTCGGGGGGACTGAGCGTGCTGAGGTTAAAACTCAGGCAGTTTATATAGGGTTGGGGTGGCAAGAAGCAGGCTTACAGAAGCAGAAGCATGGTTACAGGGATTTCATTGTTTCATCTAAATGTTGCAGTTGTAGTTAACCAAGGACAGTTGGTTATTCGGGTTGGGCACAAAGAATACAAAGAATTCAGTTATGACTATCTCAGCATACTGGACACTGTCCTGCTGACCTTGCTTTGGTCCAAGCTACAGACCACAGATATCTGGTTGGCGTTGGATGAGAGCAGCACCTGGTTCCCTCCTGTACTTTTTTCATAGTTTGACCTTGGCAAATTAGCAAGAGCAATTTAAACAGGCAATAAGCATAGTGGGGGTCTTTCAATATATTCAGGCGTGGTGGCTCACGCTTGTGTTTCGGGTTCCTGGGCCCGGGGGGGGAGGAGGGGAAGAAGAGTTCAGGCACCTCCTTTCTCATCACATAAATTTGGGGCGCGTGTGTGGTCATTGACCCCCTCTTTTAAAAAAACCCCACACAAAAAAAAAAAAAAAAAAACGGGCGGGAAAGATGTCCTATTTATATTTTTACTTCTTCTCTTTCTTTTTTTTTTTTTTTTTTCCCTCCTTGTTTTTTTAGGTACTGTGTGTGGGGGGTTTGCTTTGTTTGGGGTGTGTTTTTTTTTTGTGGTTGGTGTTGGGGGGGGGGGGTGTTTTTTTTTTTTTTTGTTTTTGTAGCAAAAGCACCTCCCCTCCCCTCCTACTACCTTCCCTCCTTTTCTTCTCTTTTCCCCTCCCCCTCCCTTTTTTTTGGGGCTTCTTAGGCTCTGTGTGCTCACCACTCATCCTGTTTTTACACTGGGACAGACAGTGAATGGGGCTGGGGTTTCCTTTTCCCTGTGACATGTGTGTTAGTCTGTTTTCTTCAGTTTGATTGCAGGTTCGTGGCTGGAGTTGACCCAGTGTCTGTAGCTTCCTTGGAGTCTGTCCTGGTTGATTTTTGTCTCCTTGACTCTAGCCAGAGTCAACTGGAGAGAGGGAACCTCAGTTGAGAAATTGACTCCACTGATTGGCCCATTGGCAAGTCTTCATTAATGATTGATGTGGGCAGTGCAACCTCTGGGGAGGATGTCCTCATTGGTATAAGAAAGCAGGCTGACCAAGCCGTGGAGGGGAAGCCAGTAAACAATGCTCCCCCCATGGCCTCTGTATCAGTTCCTGCCTTCAGCTTCTTGTTTTGGCTTCCATTAATGGACTGTGACCCAGGATATGCAAAATGAAATTAACCCATCCCTCTCCAAATTGCTTTAGGTCAGTGTCTTATCACAGCAAACAAAGAGTCATTTCTAGTGTCCCCCCCCCCCCCCCCCCCCCCGCCTTTGGACATTTTGTTTGTTTTTTAGCTGAAGGTCAAGAAGGGTGTGAATCATCAGTAGGAGTTGGCCCAGTGGCCATAGAGAAGATCCACTCTGCAATAGGCATTAGGAACACATTTTCTTTCTTCTTTCTGTCTTACCCTGGGAGCGGTGGTGTGCACTCAACCACTAAATTAGTTCAGGTATCTTCTTGCCTTGTCCTAACTCTGCCTCTTCTAGGCAAGCTGACCTCTCCTGGCCTTATCATCCCTGATACCCTTCCCTCCGCTGGTCCTGGTGTGTGTGCAACCCTCCTGTCCATCCGTGAGTTCCCGAACAAGGAAGTTCTGCCTCACAATTCATTCTGGGTGATCATGAGATGCTCAGGTTTGGCTGTCTGCCACTGAATGGCTCATGCCCCGGGGATGTTCAGGGCTCTAATCAGTCTCCTTTAGGGACTGTATCACATTCAACTTTCAAGGTAAGAAGAAGAGAACTGCTGGCATTTGCCCCGCCCCCCCCCCAATCCCCCATACAAGGAGGGCTAGCATGTTAACTCATAGGGATCATCTAACACCAAGGTAACCTATCCTGACCGATGGGCTGGAGTGAGTGAAGAGAAGCCAGTGGGTCTCCTGAGTGACTGGAGCCAGCCAGGAGTCGGCAATTCAGGGTAGCAAGGCCTGAACTCAGCTCCCAATTCTACTGCTGTGGCAGTAAGTCCTGAGTGTCCCATGGACAGGACCCTTGATAAAGTATGTCTGCAAAAACTCTATCTTAAGTGCCACATTTTGTGGCATGGGTGACTGGGAGCTTGTAGGCAATGGTGTTCAAGTTAGCTGAAGGATGTGTGCATTGGCCTTGTATCTCCTCAGGACCAATAAGGCAGAGAGGCCGAGCCTTCAGATGGACAGTAAGAGCATGACAACCTGCAAACAAGCGTTCAGTGTTGTCATTGACATATGTCAGCTAATTCATTTACTGCCCTGAAAAACTGGTTGCCTTCTAGCGCCTGGATCCAGTTATGAGATCATAGAAGGTCCGCAGAATGTAACAGTCCTAAACGGCTCCGAGGCTCGTTTCAACTGCACCGTGACCCACGGCTGGAAGCTTATCATGTGGTCCCTCAAAGGTGTGGTGGAGCTGAGTATCACTTCCCAGCAACCCATCATCACCAATGACCGCTTCACCTCGGTCAGCTACAACAGGAGTGACCGCTTCATTTCCGAGATGATCATCCACGACGTGCAGCCCGGCGACTCGGGACTTGTGCAGTGCAGCCTGCAGAACAGCAATGTGTTGGGATCTGCCTTCCTCACCGTGCAAGGTGAGCCAGCTACAGGGCCTTCTGAGGCCCACAGCTGCGTCATGACGGCTGGGGTCCACCTTCAGGTATGGTGGCGCATATCGTGATTCTGAACCCATGACGGCTTCGCGCTTATTTGTTAATGTCTCTCTGTCCCTGCATCCTTCTTGCATGTATAGTCTAGGCTTCATTGTTCTGAATATTTTGAGAGAATTCTGGCTTAGCTTATGTCGCCCTCCTCCTCCTCTCTTCTTCCCTCTCTCCCCCCTCTCCTTCCTTCTTTCCCTCCCTCTCTCCCTCCCTCTTTCTCTCCTTCCCTCCTTTGCTGTTTGACTCTCTTTCCTTGTTTACTCCTTTCTTCCCCTCCCCGCTGTGAGACGGGTTTATCGCTTTCCCATCTAATCTACTCCTGTGGTGTCTAGGTGTGTAACTGCCTTTCTGAAACCACCTCCTGGAGCTCTTCGTGTAGCTGATTTGGACAGTTGGTGGTGGCAGCACCGGAACACATTACCCGTGTGGAAGGGTGCTTTGAACGTCTCTGATCTATTTTTTCTTGCCCCAGGGACCATAGCTGTTATGGTCAAAGGTGTGTGTTCTTCAAATGCACCATGTATAGACACTAGTCTATACTACCATAACATTTTTTCATCTGTAAGACCATTACACAATGAGAAAGGCAAAAGAGTGTGTTTTATGACACTTTAAGATAGTCTTACCCAAATCAAGACTCCTTGATACTTTTTGAAAGTGAGTTTATATATTATTAGTAGAGGTTGTGATTAGTGGATTACAATTTCCTTTCAGATTTTTTTGTTTGTTTTGTGGTGTTGGGGTGTGTGTGTGTGTGGGGGGGGATAAAGACCAAGTCCTTGTGGTCTTTATCCACAGCTCTCCGTTTGAGTTGGGCCTTGTCCCTGGGTTTCTAGAGTTTTTATTTCTGTGGCGGCATTTCTCATGAGAACAAGCTGTGCCTTTGAGATTATTTTTTTTATATCCTCTTATTTCCTCACCCCAGTGAAATCCCAGATTCTGTCTGTTGTCAAATCAAATGTGATAATATTTGGTGGAAAAACATGTCTATATATTTGTATTTGTATTTAGAAATGATTTTTACTTTAGATATCGAATTAAACTGGTGATTCTTTACGTTGGGGTATCTTTAACTTGTGTGGTTTAATTAATGGAATAGTGATGTCTTCTAAGTGGTGATTTACACGAAGTTACTTAGAGCTCTCAGTTCAGTTTGCATGCCTAGGGTCTCTGATAGTAATTCAGTTATAATGGGAAGAACACAGGACCTGAGTTCTGCTGTGGTCTCTGTCAGTTGTCAGCCAGGGAGACCCCTGCTCTGGCTCCTTCCTTCCTCTGTAAGGTGGGATGAGGCTCCTCTACTCAGCTCACACATCTGCTGTGAGGATCAGGTGACAAAACCACCAGTGACTTCAAAACTTTGCCCATTTAGCTTGGGGTGCATCCAGCTGGGCATCCAGAGTGGTCAAGCTAAGCATCCAGAGTAGTCCAGCTGGGCATCCAGAGTAGTCAATCCAGGCATCCAGAGTGGCTCAGCTGGGCATCCAGAGTGGCCCAGAAATGAGGGCTTGGGAACCTGGCTGCCTGGGTTCCCATTCTGTCTTTGTTGTTTAGAGCTGCATGGTCTTAACAAAACACACAATGACTTTGGCTCTGGTTTACTCATCGTAGGGCTGTTGTAGCATGGGGGGTGTGTGTGGGGTGGGGTGTGTGGGGTGGGCCAGTAGAAAAGTGTTTTTTTTTTTTTTTTTTTAAATTCCAAGAAAAAGCATGCTTTCTAGGTACTGAGTAGGACCCAAAGATGAATAGAAAGAGGCTGGCTGTAAGGAGTAAGGTTTTTCCTCCCACCGCCAGTCTTGTCCCGCCGCCACGCCAGCCCCAAATAACTTACAGAGACTCTGTATTTGATATTATGCTGTTGTCCAGGTACTTGTTTCTTATCGGCTAGCTCTGTCCTAAGTATTAACCCATTTCTATGTATTAATGGCATCTCCCATCAGCTGGCTCAGTTGGTAAAGTGTTTGCTATGCTAACATGAGAGCCTGAGTTTGATTACCCCCATAACCCAAGTGGGAAATCTGGGTGTGGTCGTGCACACCTGAAATTCCAGCTGGTGGAGAAAGGCAGGTCATTGGGGCTTGCTGGACAGCCAGACTAATCAAATTGGTGAAATTCTAGGCTCAGTGGGAGACTCTGTCTCAAAAACTAAAATGAGGAATCATTAAGGAAGATGCTTAATATTGACCTCTGACCTCTACATAGGCTCTCTCTCTCTCTCTCTCTCTCTCTCTCACACACACACACACACAAACACACACGCACACACTCTATTTTATGAGCATCAATGCTTTGCCTGTATGTATGTCTTGTGAGGCTGAGGTTACAGACAGTTGTGAGTCGCCATGTGGGTACTGGGAATTGAACCAGGGTCCTCTTAACCACTGAACCATCTCTCCAGCCCCCTCCACATGCTGCACTGGTCCAGCTGTTGCCCAACCTGCCATTGACTCGAACATACTCTTGCTTTCTGAGGGCCAGAAGGACCTGAGCTCATGCCCCTCTGTCATTATGTGAGGCAGTTACGTCCCTCCTAGGGCCTGCCATCATCATTTTTTTTTGATGTTTATTTATTGTGCACAAATATGTCACAGCATGCTTGTGAGAGTGGATTCTCTCCACCCACCACACAAGTCTTGGATCTCAAACTCACAGCACGAGGCTCGGCAGCAAGTGACTCCAGAGGGGTTGACAGAAGAGTGAATTTAATGATTTAAGCCACCCCCCACCTCCTTGACTCAGTTACAGGAGTGTGCAAGGTTAGCACAGAGGCTCTAAGATAGCATCCAGGCCCTCCCCCACTCCAGGGCATGACTTCTTGCAGTGGCCTAACACGCTAGTGACTTTTTCAGTTCAGTTTTCCTGCCTGCAAAGGGAGCTTCATGCTGCACGCTGGAGAGATCTTCTAACTCACACTGTCCACGTTCTTGACTATAATGACAAAAACAAGTCACGCAAGGGGGAAAAAAAAATCCAGTCACGTGCCCGATAGGACCATGGTCTAGAGGGAAGGGGAGGGAAGCCCTCACTGTGGCTTCAGGCTTGCTAGTGAGTTTACCTTCAATAAAACACTCCTGTTTGAGTTTTGGCCTGGTGCCAAAGGATACCCACGGTTATTTAAAAAAGCTATTCAACACTCTGTGCAGTTCTGGCTGCATTTCTGTGGGAAGTCAAATATCTTCCTGTACTCTTCAAACAAAGCAATCCCGTAACATACAAATGAAGCTGCCAGCTTGGAAATCTAGGCTGAACATAACAGATTTGCATAGATAGACGTTGCCCCTAGATTTAGTTTTATTTATTTTTTTTTTTAAAAAAATAGTTTAAAAATACAGTTTAGGGGGAAATGCTTTCATTTGCATCAACATGTAATGAGATACGGTTGCTATTTTTAAGTAAACGTTTTAGAACAATTTTATGTAGCTGCTGTCCACACAAAGGAAGTTCTTTGGAGTCTCTGGTGGCTTTGAAAAAGGAATCGAAACCAGAGTGTTTGAAGATCATGTATTCTGGTCAGATCTTCTACCTTTAGAAAATGCAGAGATGGGGGCTCTGAGATCCCAAATTTCAGTGCTTTGCTCCGAGTGTTGGAGTTAACAGAGCAGAGCCATGGAGGGGAGCAGAGTTTTCTGTCCTGTGTTTTTCTCCATTGTCTCAAGCGGCTGGGGGGTGGTGCCTTGTAGCATGTTTGACTGTGAACATTTGAATGCACATGTGTGTCACTAAGGCTGTGTCTTTGCCGAGAGACAACCTTCAGGTTATTTTGGTATTGTCAGCACATGTAAACGTCATTTTCAGATGGGTTCCTTGCAGTGTGAATGCTGCCATCGGCAAGGAGGGGGGGGGGCGTTCTTTAAGAAAACGTTGATCTAAGTCATTAATTCTGAAAGTTATAGCTCAGCTCATAGTCGATTTGATTTTGATGTAATTTATAACTAGAAACGTATTTTAACGGGATGTTCAAGGCAGTTCATTTTTAAAGTTTACTATTGGGTGCACGTGCCTGCCTTCCCTGCCCATGGGAGCTGGAGGCAAGAGGATCTAGAGTCCAAAGCCAACTTTGAGTGATATTCGGGGCCAGCTTGGTCTACATGAGACTTTGTCTCAAAGCAAAACAAAGCAAAAGACAAAAAAAGTTTATGACTCCAAATTATAAAATGAAGGTGATTGGCTCAGACTTAAGGGAAGAGATTTTCGGGGAATAGAATACAGATTATTTCCTGTTTTGCTTCTGTTTCCAGGATTGCCTAAGAGAATCCTTGTAGCTCCATGCCAGAGGCCATTGACTTTTATTTCCCATTATTCTTGGGAGACACCTCAGCAGGTACTTATAGATATGGCAGATGAAACCTGAACTGCAAGTTTCCTGGGATAGACACAGCCTTTCTGGGGCTTGGGAAGAAAGTCTCATGAGATGTAATTTGAAGCTAAAATTGGGGAAAGTCAGGAGGCTGTTATACTTTAGCTTGCTTCTCTCTTCTCTTTAGTTATGGGGACCCTGGACATTCCTAGCAACAGCCTTGTGGTCACCCAGGGTGAACCCTGCAATGTGACTTGCTATGCCCTGGGCTGGACGCCACTCCCAGACATTTCCTGGGAGCTTGAGGTCCCGGTAAGCAATTCCAGCTACTATTCTGTTCCGGAACCGGGTGACCTTATGAGTGCCTTGAGTATCCTGGCTCTCACACCGCTGGGCAACGGGACATTGACTTGTGTGGCAGAGCTGAAGAACCTGCAGGTCAGCAAGTCCTTAACTGTCAACTTGACTGTGGTTCAGCCGCTGCCTGGTAAGTGAGCCTCTTGCCAGCCAGAACGCTCATGGGAGGGTCATGGTCACTATGCCTGTACATGGCCACCCCAGATTTTGACCGTGATGTTGGGTGGAGAGGGTGATGAGGTAAATCCAGTACTGTGAGCTTAGTGAGTCTATAATCTCACCTGTTCTTGAGAGGTTTTCTTTTTCCTAATTGCAAATGAACCATTGAAAAGCCCTGTCCATCACTTAGATATGAAGGCAGCAGATTCAGAGACAAATACTTGACTTAATGTTTTTCAAAAATAAAGCTGAGTGTGGTGGCTAATGCTTACAGTCCTTGGCTTGTAAGCCAAGCTGAGGCAGTAGGCTTGCTGAGAGTTTGAGGCTAACCTGGCTGTGTAGTGAGAGGTTCCAGGGAAGCTGGGTTTGTAAAGTGAGATGGTCTTGAAAACCAAAAATAGCATCTCATTGTCTAACTTGACTTGATGGACACACTTTAAAGTTTTTTGTTCTAACTGGATGTTTCTCTCCTGCCCTCCAGTTCCCGAATAACCACTCAGAGGCTTAATGTTAATTACAGACTGTTGGGCTAATGGCTCAGGCTAATTACTGACTAGCTCTCACAATTAAATTAACCCATTTCTACTAATCTGTATCACCACCTGCCTGTGGCTTACTGGTGTATCATCACCTGCCTGTGTCTCCCAGACTCTGCCTTCCTTCTCTTTGTATCTCTGTTTGGATTTCCTGCCTAACTATATTCTGCCTGGGCATTGACCAAATCATCTTTTTTTTTTTTTTTTTTTTTTTTTTGTTAACCAATGGTAATGAAACATATTCACAGCATGCAGAGGGGCATCCCACATCACCTTGTATTCTAGAGGAATATATACAGTGACATAGCAGAAACTTTAATGACCTCTGGTTCTTTAAGGGCCCTGTGGAGCCTGTGAGCTCTGAGCTGGCATGGGCAGGGGTTCAGGGGTACAGGAGTGATGTGGTAGGACATGAAGATTTATTGTGTGTGTGTGTGTGTGTGTGTGTGTGTGTGTGTGTGTGTGTGAAGGATGCTACTGGCCATAAACCCAGGGCCTCATATGTGCCAGATAAGAGATGTACTAGTGACTGCAACTCCAGTCACCCGAGCCCTGGAGACTCACAGTAAATCCCTTATCTTATGGAAGAGGAAGGGAATCCTAGAGAGAGGCAGGGGGAATCTCTTTAGTTCCCTTTTGTTATTTCAGCCTTCCTCGTATTGTAGAAGGAGCCTTCTGACCCCCAACCTTCATTTTTCACATGGCTCCCACGAGTATGTGTGTCCATATCTCTGTCTCTCTTTCTCTGTCTGTCTGTCTCTATGTCTGTATCTCTCATAAAAATTCAGTTTTATTCTGCCCATTATAGTCTGTTCCTATTCTTCTTGATGTTTAGCCTGGTTCAGGGTCGCCCGCCCCCTCAGGTGTCCTTCTGACATTTTCTTATTAGCGTTTGGGCTCTTGCTCAATCAGATGCTCCATATTCACTGTTTTGCCCCTGTCCAACCCAGCTCTCCTCTAAACTACTTAGAGACAATGAAATCTGGTCCAGGCATTGACAGGGAAGACTGAAAGACAAAATTCTGTTGGCACCAAATAGACCAGAACTGACTGTTGAAAACCCACATTTCACCAACATGATGAGTTAGCATGGCACTCCGGCTCGATGGATGGCCCCTTCTAGTAATGAATCTTACAGCTTGGCTCTCTGCCATCTTCTGAAGGGGGAATGGGAAGGGAAGGGCACTTCATTCTTCCTTAACTGGGACTGCACCTTAATCACAGCAGCTGTAGGCCAGAGGATGGAGGAGGAAGGCTCAGTGGGTGGGCAGCAATGAGCCTTGCTTTATTGGACTCATTTGCAAAAGGGTAATTCGTTTCTAAATTATTCATCAAGATCAGAGCAGCTGGTATCTTGCTCCATGTCGTGTGTTTTATTAGCTGCAGACCTCGGTCACCCTTGGCTGTGGAGCTAGAGGCACTGGGGTCAAGTTCGTGGAGGGTGGAGAGGTGAGCCACCTGTGAGAGTTACCAGACTCCCTTGGGGGTGGGGACCTCAGTTCCGGTCCCGCATCTGCACCACAAGGCTCCTTAGATCGAGCTTAGGAAGCCCAATGGACTCGGGTCATAAAGTGTGCTCTACCTTAGGGATCAAAAGCTCCTCTGAAGCAGTTACGTGGGAAGCCGATGCTTGTCTTCAGAGCTGGTTTCTCACTTACAGAAAACCCAAATTTTCCTAGTTACTGAAATTATACACCTGTGGGGCAGCAGTCCACCACGTTAGGTAGAAAGCAAAGCCCCTTCATCGTGTGTTGGGGAGAGGTGTGAATGAAAGCTTAACTCCCTCTAGATAGGACGCTGGTGATGCACCAAGGAAGTCATTTCATCCAAAGTCTACTTGGGTGCACCAAGGAGTTTATTGCGGTTACCTTACAGGAGCACGGATGACTCAAATGCATCGTCATCTTGATGATTTGGGAGCACTGTGTCCTTGGAACTCCCTGCACAGCTTGCAGGCAGTTCCATTGAAGGACCTTCCTGAAATTGTTTGGGAAGAACCTCGTGAGTCTTGCAACTTTCCTCACCTTCCCTAGTGTTACCAGCGCCCCGTCATGCCCAACAAAGAAATCTTCAGGTGTACAGCGTGGCTCCACCTGTGGCCCTCTACTAAACAAAATAATCCATGTTTCATATGAATAGAGGAACACATGTATACACACATATTTAATAGGAGAGAAATGAAGAACACTGTTAAAATAAGATACCTGTGCAGTTCCAGTGGTGTCTTAGGCTCCCTGATGACCTCAAACATGATAGACTTGATTACAGGAGATTTGAGTTGAAGTGTGAGACTCCAAGGAAGGCTGAACTTCCAGAGAAGAGTGGTCACAGCAAATAGGAAGTGAAAACGAACCACCTGGCTTCTGATACCCATACTGTTTCAATGAGGGGCTGTTGAGTGAGGCTGGGTATGGTGTCTGAATTAAGGAAGATGACAGTGGGTAATACCACAAAGTCCCCCATTCCCTTCTGCACGTTGTCATCAGCCCCAAGAGGTGGTTTTCCCCCTTACACATGCACACAAGGAGAAAGCAGGCACTCTCTACTCAGTTGAGGAAGGTTGTTGGATCCAGCCTGGTTTGACAGAAGGTTGGGATGTCAAATAGGGGAAGGAGAGGCCATGGCAGGAATGACTGAGTAGCTGATAAACATGATGCCCTAGGTAGGGAGAATTCAAGCCTATCTCTTAACGTCAGGAGCCAGGCCTCTCTCTAACCCCAGTTAACTCCCTTATCATGAAAACTTGTGACATTTGCAAACTTGGGTTTGGGAAAGAGTCCATCTAACTCGATGTGGATTTTGTACACATGAGTCCCACCTCAGAAACTTTCACACACATTTCTTGAGTCAGAACAACCTGGTAGAGCAAGACTTGTGGCTGGCAAATGAGCCAGAGGCCAAAGGCAACCCAGAAAGTAAACAGGGGCCACAAAAGGAACTAGGTCCTCTGATGGGAAGCCCAACATGGCTGACAGTTGAGAGGCTTCCACATGGAGATCTGCTTTTCATCTGTACTGTGAATATTGAGAATGTAGCTCTGGACTTTGTAATCTCATTATTGTGTTCTTGGGAAGGGAAGCATAGACCTATACCATAGTGGGTTCTTGCTTGCTTGTGATTTTTTTTTTTTTAATGTATCTGGGTTATTGCTTTCCTGTAGTTCTTTATGGAGTTGGATTTTTTTGCTTACCTGTGGCTCTTTATGCATCTGGGCTCTTGCTTACTCTTGACTCAGAACTGGGGCAGAAGTGATCCTCTGTAAATATTCTATCTATATGGGGAGAGCTCCCAAGAGAGATTTTCCCCATTAGCTTCCCCTGCCCCCTGCCATTGGTTCCAAAGTGAACCCCATGTTCTTTCAGAGGAAGCCTGTTATTTTAAACATTCTAGAGACTAGCCTCTACTTTGTTTTCACTGAACTACCAGTGAGGCAGGCACGGTTCCACAGATCAACACGGTTATCTGTTAGTTTGACTTGTGTGGTTCCTGTTTGGGCACAGAGGCATGAAAAGGTGTTTAAGGCCCCCTTGGGATCATCCTTATTCTTCCTATAAGCCAGGACTTTCAAGGATGGTGGAAATACTCCACCTGGGTTGATTTGACACTTGGGATGTAGGCAGTACAACTAAGAAGCTGTTATATTCAATTATATGCATTGAATTTACATGGCCACCCAAAACCAGCATGTCAGCTCTGAAGACATGGTTACAAAGACCAAACAAACAGAACGACAAAGAACCAAGGTCATTTTTTAAAATTTCCTTCCATATTTTCCTTTCACCCCCTGCCTTTGCTGCCTCAGTATACCTTTGTCTTACTCCATGCCTACTAGACAAAATAAGAGGGCAAAGTAAGATTCTGATGACGTCATTGTCACAAGATTGAGAGGAAAACTCACAGGGCTGTAGGAGAAATGCATTTAGTGGTAGGCTCTGGAGTGGCCTTGGGGAAAGCTGTGTGCTCAGGGCCATTTGCCCTCCATAGGGTATGCCTATCACCTTTGGTTTATGTACTCTCAGAGCATGGGAACATGGATGCCAGAACCCACCATTCTCTTCTGCACAGTTCTGGCTAACCAAAGGCTGTCCCGTCCCGGCATGGAAATGAGAACTCTAACCCTTGGGAGTTGCCTTGCTGGCTTACCCTTACCCAGTTCTCAGGAATGTGGGATGTTTAACCAACTGATAATTGGACCTGGGTTACAAAGCAATTACTTGTGCCAATAAATACTGGGATGAGAGATACTGGTAAGGGCTGAGTCATTAAACACACAGAGGGAGGTTGGCTGAGAATACCCTGCTGTAGTAGGCTGAAGAGTTATGATGTTATTGAAGATACAAAGCAATTTAGATCCCACTCGAACAAATGAGCCTACGAGGTACAGGTGTCACTAAACTCTGTTTTTTTTTCTTCTTTTTCTTTTTTTAAACTCTCGCCATCGTAGATAGTACTGGCTCATCCCTGCCGACCTGGGCCATCGCTCTGCTGGCAGTGGCCTTTTCCTTGCTCTTGATCCTGATCACTGCTCTGATTATAGTATGCTGCTGCTGTGGTGTCTGCAGGAGAGAAAAAGAAGGTATCGTTTTTTCTGTGTGAATTTCTGTGGGGCTTAGAACTTGTGGGACAAGCAGTCCAAGTGAGCGAGTTTATCGACTTCTTTGAAAGGTGAGTTCCACTACAGTGAGATGTCACAGCATCGTGGCAGATGACTGTCGTCATGTAGGCAAAGGACAAGAGCTGACAAGGGATGTGTGCACACTGTTGGCTGGAGTGTGAACAGGCATGGTCACCGCAGAGGTTCCTTAGAGACTAACATGGGAGCCATCTCTCCCACTGCTGCCTGAATATCCATAGGGAATGAAACAAGTGTTTCAGACACGTATGCCTTCCCGTGTTCACTGCAGAGCAGTTCATGATAGATCAGAGATAAAAATCCCTTGTAAGGCAGTGCTGCACACATGTGCACACACACATGTACCTATACATACGAACACACACACATATATGTGTACCATATGTGCACACACATACATATACACACATGAACACACATGCATACATACATGAGCACACACAGAGACATGTACACACACATGAGCGCACATACAAACACATATATGAACATACATGTGTATAGCATACTTAACGTTTATTCACACAAGGGGATACCATTTAGCCTTTAAAGTGTAGAAGACCTGTTACGTGGGACAACATTAAGAGAAATGAGTCAGTTAAGGAAGGACAAGTGTGGTGGGATCTTGCAGTTGGACACACACAAGCAAAGTGGAGTAATGGTTTCCAGAGCTGGAGATGAGGGACCGGGACATTCTGATTAAAGGATACCAGGCTTTGTATGGAGTGAGTATGTCCTGAAGACCTGTATTAGTCGTAACCTAATCGCAACGTGAAAATAGACATTTAATGCTTTTTTCCTTTAAAAAGTGATTTGTGCATGGAATGATGGTTGTATGGATCAGCGTCATCTAGTAATTTCCCGATGCCTACCACATCAACTTGTCACAAAGTACCTGCAAATATGCAAATATATATACATATAATTTCCCCTCCACTCCTATTCTGCCTTAATGAGCTGGGCAGAGGTAATAGCAATGCTGAACAAAGTAAAACTGATACTAAGGCGAGAAGCTTTCAGTCTTTGACAGGAACCATGGGAAGGAGGCAGGGAAGAGATGGTGGCCATTCCCCTAGGACCTAGGGAACCCCACGCAGAGGCCAGGCTGACCCACATTGGAGAAGGTGGCCAATGAAACCTTCTTGCAGATACCTGGGTTTCTAGACTTCTGAACTCATTTGCAAGGATAAGCGGCTGTGGCGATATGTTCTTTACCATGCAGGTGAGGGTGGCTGCAGAGGTAATCAGGGAAACAAGGCACACGCTGAGTTAATGGAAATGTGAGTGAATGGGTCTGTGGAGGCAGTCCCATCTATGTGGAAGCTGTGGCTGGTCTGGAGGCTGGGGTCTAGAATGAGGGGGCTTGTTACAGAGTTTGATAGTCAAAACTTGTGTGACAGCCCAGAGCTCTCTGAGTGCTGAATCTTTGTCTTTTCTCTGATTTGAACACTTTCTGCAGTTGAATTATTATTATATTTTTGTAAGAGCTGAGAATGATGTTTGGGTGCCTGTCACTTGATTTGCCTTGTTAAATTTGTGAACACTGTGTGTGTGTGCCAGGTGCCATCTACTGACTGTTTTCCATTGATCTCTCTCAGCGAGACACGCCAGGTAAATCCCATGGTCTATCCTAAGGATGGGGTCTGGCTGTAGCTCCTTCATGGATCAGGCTTTGATTTGGGTGTTAATTTTATTCCTTGGAAAGTGGAAGTTTGCAGATCAGTGAAAGCCTATCTGTGAACTCAAGGTGAGACTTTTGTGTGGCCGACGGACCCATTCTTCACCTGCTGTTTTATATGGGAATGGTTGAAATGGTCTTCTACGTCATCAAGAAGGCACTGGGGGTTGGGCAGTGCCTTCAGTTGGGGATTCTTGACATGACATTCATGGACTTGGTGGAGAAGTTCTGATGGTTGAGATTTTCTCCTTCTCTTAGCCCAGTGAGAGGATTGTTGGTGGGTGTTGTTCCATAAATGGTCTGAGTGGTTTCTTTTTTTAGTTTGCTTTTCCATAAATGCTGCCCTATAGATTAGTTGTAAAAAATTTAAAATGTGCATTAAGAGTCCCAAGCCAGGTGCAGTGGCTCGTGTGTGTGATTCTAGTACTCAGGAAGCTGAGGCTGGGGGATTGTCACAACTTTGAGGCTAGCTGGGCTTATACAGTGAATTGCCCGCCAGTGTGATCACATAGTGAGACACTGCCTTGAAAAATACTTCTGTGATGCATCTTAGATTTTTGTCCTTTACGTAATTTCAAGGTGAAAAGCCCACTCCAGTGTGAGCTATTTATTTCCTTCTCTTGTCACAAGAAGTCTAAGGCTGTGAACAGACACCCGCCACAGCCTGCTTACAATGTTTACCCTGTCCCATGAGGTCAGATGTGGCTGCCGTGAAATTATACTAACACAGTAGCATAAACGTAAAAATCAGTGACCCTCTGAGTTTTCCCAATATGATAATTTCAATCCATAAAATATATTAAACATTCCCACCCCACCCCTCCCAGGAGTGTTTTCTGGTGCTTTCTTTGCTGGCACCTGGGGAATTCTCCACGTGCCTCTGGTTAATTGAGAACTGACTGAGGATGGCTGAGGGTCCTGCTGACCCTGCTCAGAGGCCTTGGAATGGCAGTGTGGAGAAGATGACCCCAGATCATGCACCCTTTCCCACCTGAGTGGAAACATGTGGCTCATCCCATCACTGGAGGATATCGATGGGGGGAGACTACGATGCGGATAAAAGCGTTTCTGAGTTTAGTTTGAGACCTGAATCAGATGGTGTTATTACAATTTAAAACAGGTGAGACTACTACCTAAAAACATAATAATAAGGGAAAGTGATATTTTCCAGACCTCAGCAGAGCCTGGCTAGGAGACTGAGGGTGTGAAGGACGTGAACTCTGCACATCGACTGGGGAAACTTGGTGTGTGGCTTCGAGTTTTAGATTCCTGATTCCCTCTTGTCCAAGAGTCCATTGGTTGGTACCATTGGCTAGGGAAGGAATGGCGGGTTTGTTGTGTGTAGTGACAACTGTATGAACGGACACTGGTCATGCCTGTGAAACTGATCGGAAATGGATCTTAGAGTAAAGCTCTCAGGGTGTTGGGTGAGATTATTGTAGCGTTGCCTAATTGAAAGCAGTTCCCAATTGTAAGGTCCCTCAATAGAAACCCTTTCAAAATTAAAAACAGAAACACGCCTACATTACCATTGTATATATGTGTTATATAGCCATGCCAAATGCAGGTTTGTTGGTTTTGTTTGTTTGTTCTTTTGTGTTTTTGAGACAGGGTTTCTTTATGTAGCCCTGGAGGACCTGGAACTAGTTCTGGCCACCAGACTGGCCTCGAACTCACAGAGATCCACCTGCCTCTGCCTCCAATGCTGGGATTAAAGGTGTGAACCACTGGCAAATGCCGTGTGCATAAAATGGAGAGTCAGTTAAAAAGAAAGAAAAGAAAATGGATCTTAGTATTAAAGAATGAAGATATGTCAACATCATGGTGTCTTGCTTGATGGACTAGAGTAACACTAGTGTCTGTATCCTAGACTGTTGTAATAGTCATATGAGGACATGCTCTACATGGTTCCGGTGGGTTGGTACACAGCAAGCAACCAATGATTAACGTGGCTGGCTGGGTTACTTAGAGCGCTTCTTGGTGATGGATCCTGGACAACACTTGGGTGTCAAATTTAATCAGCATTCATTGGGTACACAAGGGGCATCTACTATCTACCTACAGAGTATTTATCTTTCTGATACTGAGCCTGTTGTCCTTGGCCTTAGTAGTTTTCCTGACTCAGTGCAGGGTTACTTTTAAATACGGACTGAGTCAAAGTGAGATTCCTCAAGTCAGCGAGTCAATAAAAACTGATGAGTTATTTTTAGAACTACTACCCTCATCTTGTTAATGTGTTTCTTCCTCCCCACCCTCTTTTGTTTTTCAGAATCTAGTTATCAAAATGAGATAAGGTAAGTTGGAAACTTCTTCATCTTTTTGCTAAAACAAAACCAAGTAACCATGGCAACACTCAAGCATGGGACTATAGGGCTTGGGGGGGGATTATGTTCCTCAATAAATACTCAAATCAGACTCTCTGAAAAACATGTCAGTCACAAACTCATAAAGCGAGCTGTCTACAGAGGGCTCCCTTAGGATCTCTAGGGAGGTGGAGGTTTGCTGAGCACCTGACATTTGCAACTCTCTCCACAAGAGGACACTGTGCCCTGTGACTGTGGGTGGTTGTTGTCCTTCCTTGAGCCAATGCACCTGCAGAGATTGCACTGGGACTCGACAGGTATGTTGCAGGGTAGCTAGCTATGCCAGAAGGATGCCTATAAGGCATGTGGCATTGCTTTGGTACACACGTTAGACACCGTGACTCGTCCTGGCACTAAGAAGACAGCAGTGAAGATTCCTCTCATTCCTGCACCATCCAGAGTGTCTGCAAACACGTTTGAGGGAGCGAAGTCCAGATTCACAGGAATTCACGCTAGCTGGTGTGTTCATATGATTGCACAGCAGCCTGTGCGTTCACAGGAATGCATGGTAGCTGATGCGTTCACATGCACACATGGCAGCCGGTGTGTTCACAGGCATGCATGGTAGTTAGTATGTTCACAGGAATTCATGGTAGCCAGTGTGTTCATGGGAATGCATGGCAGCTGATGTGTTCACAGGCATGCATGGCAGCCACTGTGAATATCTGTGGTACTTCCAGAGTTACAGTCACCCAGCATGTTTCAGCTGCAGCACTTTAGCTGAAGGTGTCTGAAACCTTCAGTGTTTATTAGATAATTTAAAGTTTCTAGGCTCTGAGATTAAAAAAAAAAAAAGCCCCATGAATGGACGTGTAATGGTTACCAAATGACCGGTTCTTTCCATTCACCCTCTGTCCCTGGTTAAAACAAAACAAAAACAAACCAAAAAACCAAACCCGGTTCTGAGAGAGGCAGCTTCATTTCTGAGGCATCATGCAGCCACAGTCTGAAAGCTGCCCTGTGGGGCCTGATGTGAGGTGAGGGAGAACAAGGAAACAGATCCTGTGCAAATTCTAGCATTCCTCTTGACCGTGGGCGCGAGGAGGGTCACAGCCTGGATTCCCCCTTGTCCTCCTGAGAAAGGTGATTGCTATCACAACCTTTGGTTCTATTCTCAGGGTCTCACGGGACTTCAAGGCACAGTTGAGCAACCCAGAGTTATTTAGCAAAATGGCGGAGAATGACGATAGGCATGTGTAGCCATGGCAACAGCTAAGCCCCCCCCCCCAATCTCCGCTATACTCATACCTACCCCTTAACAGCTGGGTGCTGCTCCCAGCTCCACACAGGTTTCGGTCTTGCTGGTTTCTTACTCACCATGGTGCATGTCTATGCCTTTTCCATTTTGTGACTGAGGGTTCTGTGACATTTCCCACATTCTGCTCATGGTGGAGTCAGGGATGTAGACAGGGCAGCTGTTGCCAGGGCCAGGTCTCTCATCTATGTGCAGCCCCTGGTTTAGAATGGATTGCCTTGTCCTAGGGGCATAATGGTGTCTCACAGCCTGTCTGATATTTCCCTTCCCATTTTTTTTCTCCAGCCACTTAAATATTTTGTGTTAAAATAACCATACATATTTTTATTGAAGGTTCAGTACCTTCAAGGTTTAGTGTAGAAAAGAAATTAAACACAAATAGACCGAGAAACAATGTTAATGTCACCTTTAGCTCCATTGTCTAGAGGTAATTGCTATTACCTATGTTTGTGTATGTTCCTGTGCAGGTGTGTGTGTGTTCACATGTACAAGCAGACACATACATGCAAGCATTCTGTACAATCTGGACCCTAGCAACTGTTATCTAATTGTGTGTTCTTTTTATCTGACACTATTTTGAAGGTTTTATTTTTTCCTACTAACAACACTTCGGTTTGGTAGTTTTTTTTTTTTCCTCAGATGGTTTTAATTTCGTTGTTTATGAAGATTGTGTATGTAGTTTTATTATCTGCCTTTTCTGCTTGAATAAAATCATAAGTAACCATATCAGCAAACAGTATAGAAGTTAAAACAGTTTTATTAGAGGGGCTGGAGGGATGGCTTAGAGATTAAGGGTACTTGCTGTTCTTGCACTGGACCTGAAATTCAGCACCCATGACAGGCAGCTTATGACCACACACAGCTGCAGCTCCAGAGGACTGGACAAACCCTTTGGGCATCTGCAGTCACAAGTTTGAACCCACACACAGGCACATACATATACACTTAAATTTAAAACGTCTTTGGACATTCTTGTTAGTTAGTATAGATTTGTTTTACAAAGTGATGGGTTTCATGACATTTTCATTCACAAATGTAAGCGGAGGGATGTATACACAGTATGACTGAAGTTCTCAAGCGTCTGTGCTATGGCCTCGGCCAAAGTTCAGAACTAGCGAGTCAGTACCCCACGAGGCTGTCTCAGACTCGCCTTAGATCATTAGATCCATGTAAATGAATCGTCACACATACTCATCCAAGCATGCCTGCCTTCCAGAAGCTTTCCACAGTGAGGCCCATCCACACTGCCATGCGGCTGGAGATATTTTCTGACGACACAACGCCGTGTTCTAGCTGTACGTGGGACTCAGTCTCCTCAGCTTTACGTGGGGGCTTTGATGGTTTTCCGGTTGTTCCACTCTGAAGGGAATAGCGTTCTCTGTGTGTTCTCATGTGTCCCCGTGGAGAGCTTGAGTGCCCATCCTGATCAGAGTTCTGTGCATCTCCATAGCGGCGAGAGGCTGTGGACACATGGTAGCTATGTGTTCCAGTTTCGAACCAATGGCACCGCTGTCCAAGAGCAGTCTAATGTCCACTGTCCCCTGCTGTATTAAGAGCTTTCATCTATTACATTTTTATGGGCAGCGTGGAAGCCTGTCACTCGCTTACGTTGGCCCCTTGGGTTGTCTGTGGCTCATGGATGACCCGTCTTCTTTCAGGCAGACCTTCGCGTGTATCATGACTGTTTTCTTAGCAAGTGCCCTTAGGAGTTGAGGAAGAACATTTCCTTCTCTGGCTATCCATCATCCAAGTTCACTCCCCTAGAGGGGAGCTGCACCAATCTTTGCTTTATTTTGGGGACCAACCCACTTTTCATACAAAGGGGTACACGGTAAATACTTTTGGTTTTGCCAACCATGAAGTCTTTGGCACAACCACTGAGTTCTGTTACCGTGACGCAAAGGCAGCACCAGAAACTGTGACCACAGGCAAGTAATCCCTGGGTTTCAACAACGGATGGTGGAGTAGTTGGGCTCAGGGGTCATAGGTTACTGACCCCTGATTTGCTTAGGGGCTTTTGGGAGTTGAGCCCACACATCTGCCATGATGAAACCCCATCCCTCCCTCTCACTGCAGGAATGCACAGGCTGTCTACCTCTGCCAAGCAGAAGCTGTAACCAAAATGCTCTAATTCCAGGAAAACTGCAAACACGAAGCCAAACAAAACAGATCCCGAGACAAGGTTCAAGAGTGGAAAGGAAAACCTTGGGTACAGTTCGGATGAAGCAAGGGCTGCACGTGAGTACCAGGCAGGGATCAGGAAGACCTTCAGAGGAAGATGTGTGGATTGCCTGGACACCAGCTCCTCAAACAGAAAAATCTATTCACTGGGGGCAACCATTGTTTGGATAATATATATATATATATATATATATATATATATATATATATTTAGGAGAAGTTGTAGAGTTGGAAGCAGACTTAGCAGTATTTCTCTGCTTAATGCCGAGACAGAATAAACGTTAAAACAGCAGTATTTCTCTCAGAATAAACGTTAAAAATTAACTTTCAAGGCCTTTACTCCCCTTTAAAATTATGGGACGGCTCTTTAAATTACTGCAGGTGATTTCTTCCGAACTTAACCCAATTCAAGTACAATTGACAGGCAGAAGTCTGCTCCTGATCAGTCAGACAGGATGGCTGTTGGAAGGCTAAACTACTTTGAGAAGTCGTTTCCGCAATCTCATTTGCGGTAGTGACAATGGGGTAGGGACTCTCTGTAGCCAGTAGGCTTTGAAAGGATGAGGTAGGAGGGCCCGTGACACACACCAGCCCTCAGCACCTAGAAAGGGGTCTCAGCCACATGGGTTGGCAAAACAAATCCCAGGGAAAGACCCTCAGCCAGTTGGCCCTTCCTAGGATTGGGGTTCTGGTTTTTTAGTATCCCCATTCTTTGACTTCACCCCAGCTGGCTCCTTTGTGCACTCCAAATTCTATGCGTCACATTAAAAAGTGCCACAAAGCATGAGCTGCTGCACTTGAGGAGCCCCAAGCGCCTTCAAGGATTTCTTGCTATTGTTTATTCATTAGTGTTTTGAGCATTTTGCGAGTATCTTGACCGAAATCATGACTTAAGCCCAAGCTGTTCCGCCCCATCCTCAATGTGCCTTGTGTTTATTTTCCTCGGTCGAGCTACTGAAGCCATGGGTCATCTTGTGTCTAGATAAGGCCAACGGGTGAAGGAAGGAATTGATTTTTGCGTCAGTTTTCCTTATTTTTGTAGCACACACATAAAGCATGGAGTTCTAATCCTTTGTAACGTAAAGAGATAAATAGCTGTGTACTCACAGTAATTTATCTTCCTGTCACCTGTGGGGCACTGGGCTAAGCAGCCAAGACAGGCAGGAAAGGTTCATTTTTGGCTCACGGTTTCAAAGGCTTGGGCCTGTGTTGAACAGAGCATCATGGAGTGAAGTCTTAACTAGACAGTACTAGGACGCAAAGAGAGAGGGAGGAAGAGGCCAGCGATCCAACATTCTCTTCAAAGACGTCTTCCTTCCCTATGACCCAACTTCTTTCCACTAGGCTCCACCCCTTGAAGGACCCATCATTTCCAGTAGCCCAAGTCTTTACAAGGCCTTGAGGGGCATCCCATATCAAAACTGTAGAAATTATTTTATGTCAGAAATACTTAGAAATCCTAATTAATTATTAAAATATGCAACCTGATTTCTTAAAAAAAATCACGTATTTAAAAAAAAAATTCTTCTATTGCAGAGATTGCTTCTCTCCCTCCTAAATCTGGTGAAGTCAGCCTTCAGGGACAACGCAGCCATATCGCTCCTTATCAGGTATTGTAGAACATCTGGGACGTACATTGAATTTTTTAGCAGTTAAGAATGCATACTTCTGATAGGTACACGCTGAATATTCATGATGGAAGAAGGGCACTCTTCCCTACCTCTGTTTCAAGCAGACAGCCTATCAGGGACAGGGCGGAGAGAGGAAGTATCTCTTGCTTTCCTATAGCAGTGGCTTTATGTCCAGTTGATGGTTTGGGAGGATGTACTCTGACTGGGGAAATAGTCACCTGAACCAACAAAGTCATGAGCAACATGCAACTTGCTGTTTGTTCTCTTTGACAAAGTCTGTAAGACCTGAGTCAGCTTTGTTGTCCCAGCTACCTGGAATCTGCATAATCCACATCTATATTGGAACCTCTTGATGGAGATTTCTGTCCCACCTGGTCCCACGGCTGTTTTTCCCCAAATAAACACACAAAGACTTATATTAGGTATAAAATGTTTGGCCAATGGCTTAGGCTTCTTATTGGCTAGCTCTGTCTTAACTATCGACCCATTTCTATTAATCGATGTATTGCCACAAGGCTGGTGCTTACCCATACTCCTTTGGCAGCACGCATCCTTTCCTCGCTCCCACATTCTCCTCATCTAGTTGCTCCACCTATCTTCCTACCTGGCTACTGGTCAATCAGTGTTTTATTCATCAACCAATAAGAGAAACATATATACAGAAGGACATCCCCATCAGGGGCCTTGGGTGCTTTGTCTCAAGGAAGGATGTTGGGTGCTGGGTTTTGAAAAGCAGGAGAATAAATGTGTTTTGCTGTGCATGTGAGGTCTATGGCCGTGAGGTTGTCAGTGGGCAAGATCCTGTTGGGCCTGGAGTTTGGATGGAGAAGGGAAGAGTCATTGGTCAAGAGTATGGCCAGAACCATTTGAAGGTTGGAGCTGCCACTGACAGAGATTGCTGAGGGACAGAGGGTTTGGGTACCAGACTCGGTGGCCCTACCTTGGTGGGGGTCATGGGTGACTGAGGGGCTCTCTCCCACTCAGTTACAAGCATGGTGTGTAAGTTATGATTTCTGTTGCTGTGACAAGATGCCCGGCAAAAACAACATAAAGAAGGAGCAGTTTCTTTTGGCTCACCGTTTGGAAATACAGTCCACTGTGGCCTCACAAAGCAGGGAGAGATGGGTGCTGCTGTGGTACCTCATTTCTCCGTCTGATTCAGTATGGGACCCACCTCCCATGGGATGGCAGTCTCACATTCAGAGTGGGTCTTCTCTCCTCTTAAGCCTCCTTGAAAGCACCTCATAGATATACTCAGAAGCGTGCGTTTTAGGTAATTTCAGATTCAGCCGTGTTGACAGAGAAGAGAAGCCATCCTGCATGGATACCCCAAGAGCACACTTCAGAAGCCCCCCACCTCCCCAAGCTCCTTTCTGGTTGTCTTTTTCCTATCAAGTGTTTCCTGTAGACAAGCCCAAGTATTTGCCTAGGAAGAGATCCGAATCTGGGACCACTAGATAATTTCGTTCGTAATGTGTCTGGTGTGAGTGAGGAAAATGGGAATGCCAGAGCCTGGATAAGAGAATGGGGAATGATATTTCAGAACTGCAAGGCTGTTCTGAAAATACTCAGGGAGAGTTTTGGGCTACTAACACACATAGCCAGTTAAGCGATGTATTGGTGGAAAAAATAGGGTAGTGGCTGTGGTGCTGAACCTGGTGATGGTGATGGTGTGTGCTGTGTTTCCTGAGTGGTTTGCAAAGATTCAAGGTGAGCTGAGCTTCGGCAAAGAGTATTGAAGTCCATACAACACCAATCAGACCCCAGAGAGAACTGTCTTTGCCTAGCTAGAAACTTAGTGAAGTTACTAAATGTCTGGTTCTTTCTATTCCCAGTGGGGTGTTTTAAGGGAAGCATACCTTGAGAAGGGCAGTCAAGTTTAACCAAAGGGTGTCTGTGCATTGCCTCTAGGCAGTCCATTCTGAGTAGCCAGTGAGCTCGAGGGATGCTGGAGGGAAGGGATGTAGCCAGGTGCACAGCTATTCCCCGTGTTGGGCTTGAAAAGGACATGTGAAAGTTTCCAGCGTGGCCACAACCATTTCTTACAGTGAAGGATGGTTCAGGTGATCCTTAAGTCCAGAGGTTCCTTTGTAGAGCTTCCGGAATCAGGGGCCATGTCCTCATCGCAGTCTAGTCTGGGAGTCTTTAGGGGGTGGTGGGTATTCATATCTTGTAAGGATGTTATAGTCTGCCCTCCAGTTCTCTCCCACCCTGTACTGGTCTGTGCTTCTGCAGTTAGCCTCAGTGTGGCTCTAATTCAGCACACACCATCTCACATTGACATGGGAGCATTTCTGTACATGCACGCCCATAAGTGCTGCCTCTCAGCTCTTCTCCAGCTCAAAATGCTGGCCAGTTAGAGTTCAGGGTTACTGAATACAAGCTGTGCTGCTTTGCAGAACCCTCCTCCCCACCACCTCCTACCCAGATTATAAACCAAGCTCTCTAGCTGTGAGCTAGCCAGCCTGCAGCTGGTACTCTTCCTAGTCTAGGTGATTGGGGAGCTCATTGGGGCAGATAAATGGCCTATACATAGAGACACAGGGTGCCACCAGCAACTGAGGTGCCTGGTTGGTGCTAATAGACCTTGGAAGAGGCAAATCTTAATTCTGTAAAGAGCACAGCAATGCCAAGCGGGAACTAGGGCTATGTAGAACTCAAGAAACTGCAGCATTGGGGGCTATTCAGAGGCTTCCTGTCAATGCCCCAGCTTTACACACATGAGCCTCCATCTCCAGGCTGGTGAGAGCTGCCAAATGGGCATCTTCTCCCTGGCCAATGTGGCAGGATTCTAGTTACGGCCTAGATCCAGCAGTTACCCTACAGGAGGCTCTGTTTTGGAAGGCTAGGAGACCCCATCTCCCATAACTCATTGCTGCTCCTTATCTTTCTAGTCAATGTCTAGAGTGCTGGTGTCCACGCTACCATGGTGATATCATGTGAGGTTGGAGGTGATGCTCTTGGGTCAGACCCTTCCTCATCTTCTAATAGTTTCAGTATAAAGTCCTTGTAAGTCTTCAGGAGGGTTAGGGATTGTCATAGGGACCGAGTCTTAGGGGACAGGTGGTAGCTACAAGAGTGTGCCCCATATAAGACCAGCCATCGTGACTAGGAGCTTCAGGAGGACAGATGTGGGCCAGTCACCACAGAAGATGGTGAGCTCTACCAATGTGGCAAGATGCAGGCTCCTGGAAACACTTAACCCTCTGTTGCCTGGAGCACTTTCTTGCCCAATCCCATTTCAGCTTTTTCCCATTGTGGGGCCTTCCCTGAGTACTGGAGTATTAAAGATTTATTTATTTCGCGTGTATGAGTGATTTGCCCACAAGTGTGTGTGTGTGTGTGTTCCTGAGTGTACAGTACCTTGAGAGACCAGAAGAGGGCGCCAGGAACCCCAGAAGTGAAGCTATGGAAGGTTATGAGCCACCATGTGGCTGCTATGAATGGGACTTGGGTCCACTATGAGAGTAGAATGTGCTCTTACCCACTGCGCACCTCTTCAGTCTCGGGGGGGTTTGACTTAGGGGTGTATATCCTGATTCATGCCACAATCTGATAGAGACCTGGGGTGATAGGGGATGTCCTTCTGTATATATGTTCCTCTCATTGGTTGATGAATAAAACACCGGCCAATAACCAGTAGAGACAGGAAGATAGGCGGGGCTAGGAGGCGAGGAGAAGGCTGGGAGGCGGAACAGGTCCGGACCTTTCTCCGGTAACGGTTTTATAATTATTATAGCGTCTGTGTGCTTTTTTGGGGCTGAGATCTGGCGGAACAAGAAAACTCCAGCAGCACCGGGGGATGTTTCCAAATGCTGGATGCTTGGATTCCTAAAGAATACTTGCTGAGTATGAGGTGCACGTGGCACCTTTAGATGTCTGGTACCCCTGGCATCTCAGTGCAGCCTAACCCAGAAGCTCTTGGGGCCTCTTCCACACTGTCTAGATAAGATCAGGCCTAAGCAACAGTGTTTTCAAAGGTTTTCTGGATGGTCTGCTTGGGGACGGTGTTTTTGTAGACACAGGCCTGTTTCCTGAGTGAGGCTCAAACACCCATCTGTGGAAGCTTTTTTGTCTTGTGTTTTGTTTTTGTTCTCTGGTATTGTAGATGGGTAGAGCCCAGCCCAGGCATTGCACGTCTGGCAAAGTTAGAAGGAAAAACGATTATCAGAACGGACACATGCTGAGTGTGACCACTCTTCATTGCTGGCTTCTGTCGCGATGGGGTGTGTGGTTAGGGCATGGAATAGGCCATTGATTACTAGGTAGGAGCTTGTTGGGTGGTAGGGGGAGCTCAGGTATGCTATGGTCAACACATGTTAGGACAGAGTGAACAAGGATTTAATTTTCCCCACAAATCACAACCAGCTCATAGGACAAATGAACTCTTTCTATTTTGGTCTAAAACCATGGGTTTTAGCTTTATGAATGATTTGTACCTAGATGAATATTTAACACAAATGGCCATCCTTCCTTCCTTCTCTTCTGGGCCTTCACTTTCTGTCAATCAACGCTTCTGCTTTTTTTTTTTTTTTTAAATCTCTTTACCATTCCGTGTACGAGGGCACATGAATGTTTCATAACCCGGCTTGTGCCTTGCCCGCTAATCCGTTCCTCCTGTTGAGATAAACAGAAATAAACCCGTGATAAATTTAGAAAGCGGCGGTGCATTTATGCAAACCAGCCCCAGCTCAAACAGAAGCAAACAACTGCAACACCCTCCTGCACCCCAGCAGAAGGCGCCCTCCAGAGAGACCCTGGCGTATTCAGCACCATCCACCAAGCAGGCGGCCTTTCCTTCACGCGCGCGCACGCGCGCGCGCGCAGGGGGTGGGGGCTGCCAAGGGAAGCCACACCGCAGCTTGAGACTTACCCCCCCCCACACTCAAGATCCACAGCATTCTACCGCAGCTGAATAATTCATCCTGCCCCGCTGTATTATTTAAGACATTTGATACGCGTGCTGTGTCCCCCAGTCTGAACTGCTGCCCTCAGGGCTGGCTGAGAGGATGGGTGGCAACGATTCTTTGCTTTTGGGGCAGGGTCTTCTCCCTGTGTGCCTCAGGTTAATTTGAACTCACGATCCTCCTGCCTCAGTCTCCCAGGCGCTTGGCTTATGGGGCTTGTGCGCACATCTTCCTAAGGGTGAAGTCACTGGCCCTGTAGAGGAGCCCAGGTTAGTTCTGGTTCTGAATGAGAAACCAGCCACTGCACAATACCACAGGAGACACAGGGGCGGAGGATTTCCAGTCAGCTCTTCTGCTTTGCTTTTGCTCTTTTAGAAGGAACGTGTGTTATTTGAAGACCTCCGCAAATATCTTATGTTTAAAACCAAACCAAAAAACCCCAAAACCCTACCAGGTAAAGCAAGGACTTCCACAGGAAAACTGGAAAACAAGACAAAGAATCTTGGCATCTGTAATTTGGTTTGGTAAAAGTGGGTCTTGGATTCTTGGAACGAGTTTGCTCTTTGGGCTTGGAAAGCACCTAGAGTGAAGGAAAAGGAGCAGAGCGTGCGTCGCTATGCAGTTGTTCAACCCTGCTCCCCATACTTCTCAGGTGAGTACTGTGCCTCTGGCCCAGCCAGCGAGCGCACTGACCCTTCCGCCTTTTTTAAAACAGGCACACAAAACACGCCAGCCCAGTGCAGCAAATCATCCACGGGTTTCCTTTGACACCGCGAGTCCTCAGAAGGTCAGAAATGCAACTTTAGTGTAGTGAAGACTTCTCACGCCTGCGCTGTGTACACATCCATCAAGGCGGTGCCATCTTCCTCTCCATCCTGAGACGAGGCCCCAGCTTTGCCAAAGAGGCCGCCTCGGAGCCACCGGAGCTGATGTTTCATGGTGACGGGAAGAATCAGTTTTTTCCTCCACACCAGGGAGAATTTGATTTTGAAATGTCTCATGGTTTTGGTGAATCCCTTACTTAAAGTGACTGAGTAAAACCTGAGGGTCTATCATGGAGATATCTAACCCTTATGGATTGACACTCCTGCTTGCTGATCCAACACAGGGCAGATAGGACCGATTCTGCCATGACACTCAAAATGTTTGTGTTTGTTGTCCTAGGTCATGGGTAAGATGCTATTGATGTGTGTTTTATAGATAGGGACACTGAACCAAGAGCTTAATGATTAGAAGCAACTGGATCTCTTTTAAGTGGGCTGGCGGTTCGGAACTCAGCCAGTTAAATAAGAGGAACTCAGCCAGTTAAATAAGAGGAAGTGGAATGCCAAGGTGGATGTCCAGATGACAGTTGCGGGGCTCCCTTATCCTTTTCTTCATGTTTTTGGGTGAATTAGGTGTGACTTCTGTCTGACAGGGGCAAAGCTCACATTCTGCCAGCATCATTCATATATATATATATATATATATATATATATATATATATATATATATATACACAATATGTGTGTATATATATGTATGCACACACATATATTAATAATATATATTAATAAAGAGAAAGCAAAGCACCTTGTTTTGTTGTTTTGTTGATGTAATTCATCCTTTGAGGACTTTAGATGCATACAGTGTGTTTTGATCCATTCTGTGATCAAACTCCTCCTCCAACTTCTCCCAGGCCCCCACCATGTGCCAACTTCATGTCCTCTCTGTTTTCAATCAGTGTTACCATACATGCATGGGTGTGGGGCACAAACAGCCTGATATTATGGAGGCATTTTCTTAATTCAGATTTCCTCCTCTTGGACGACTACAGCTTGTGTTAGATGACATGAAACTATTCAGCACATCCTCCATGCTGGGATGTTGACTGGCTTGGTCTTGTGCAGGCAGCCATGGGTGCTGAGTTCTTGAGTGCAGTGGCCCTGTCGTATCCAGAAGGCATTGATTTTTACCAGTCCTCCTTGACCTCTGGCTCTCACAGTCTCGCCATCCGCCATCCCCTCTTCTGTGAGGGTTCCTGTGCTGCAACTTTGTGCTGCCTTATTAAGCATTTTTTTTGCGTTTGTGTATTTTTGCCTGCATTAATGTTTGTGCCCGTATATGCCAGGAGAGGGCACTGGATCCCCTGGAAGTGGAGTTAAAGATGTGGCTGTGAGCTGTCATGTGGGTGCTGGGAATCGAACCTGGGTCCTCTGGGAACCTGGGTCCTCTGGAAGAACAGTCAATGCTCTTAACCACTGAGCCATCTCTCCAGCCCTCGTGTTGACTTTCTTAATGCAAAGATTTGGGTGGTAATCCAAAGACTCACAGTATTTAGAAATGAAGCGGTTTCCAAGAAGGAGGTCATGACACTTCAGTGCACCTGTGGTTTGTCTTCTCATACTGTGTAAAACCAACACAGGTGTTAGGATCCAGGATGAAATCCCTGCCCTTTCCAAGTCCCTCTTACACCTAGGTTTGCTCAGTGAACTTCACTTCCTACACCTGGTACAATCACCCCAGAGACATGACCATTATTAATTATCTCAAGTTCCCAACTGGTTGGTAAAGATTTCTCTTGTGGTTAGCAATTAGTCTCAGGTTTAACTATGCTACTGCGAAGGCAGAGTTTGGCTTTTGACAAATGTCAAGACTACCCTTTGAAGACTGAACAAATGTCTGTTCTCCCCAGATAGCAAGTCTGTGACAGACCAAGGTATGGATACCCTCCAAGTCCAACTTGGTGAGGCATGGGTTTTACTGGAGTTACTTACAGGAGCAGAAATCACTCAAAGACCGCTATCATGGGTGACGGCTCACAAATCTGGAAATGTGGGGCATACTGCACAACCTACAGACAGCTCAACAGGTTGTAAAGTGTCCTTCCCCAGCCCGGCTTGTCTATGAGTGATCCGTGGCCATCTTTACTGCTTATATACTCATGGGAAGGGGTCAATCTCAGGGACTCCTTGGAACTATCTTGAGTTGTTTACCTCCTGTCTTAAAAGCTTCCTTAAAGGATGGGATGTTTCAACGTCCAGTAAACATCTTGTATTACAGTGTTTCCTTCGAAAATGGAAGGTTTTAATCTTGGAGGAAACTGCTACTCAACCTCAGACTCTAGTGAATTCTGTTAATTATTATTAAACGAAAGATCAAGATGGTATTCCTTGCCACTCAGCACGCCTGCTTGTACAGAGCCGAATAGCACTATTTAAGTTATTTAAACTAAATAGGATGCAAGATCTTTTCCTTCGATTATGCTAGCCCATGTCAAAGGTTCCACAGTCCTTGTGGCCAGTGGCCACTGTATGTAGACGGTCAGATAACAAGCTTTCATTGCTGAAGAAAGCACTGTTGGACAGTACTAACTTACAGAGAGCTACTTGGGAATGACCTTGATATGCTATGGGTTCATTCACACAAACACAGTCTGTGTTTTCTTCCGTGTGAAAGCCTGCAGCCGACTGGTTTCTATTTAGGGATCTTGCAAACCCCAAGGCAGCTCTCAGCTCAACATGGTGTTTTGCTGATGTGTTAAAAGCATCTTTCACTCAGCAGTGCAGACAGCTGAGGCAGGCTCAGGAGGCTGGGGTGTGTGAGGAGGCAACCAGCAAATGACATGGACAAGGTTGTTTCCCCAGAACATAGATGAGGGTCTCTGGTGATGAAATATGGTTTTAAAACAATCATCCCTCAAAGCCCGCACCATCAAATCCTGGCTAGAGAAATGGCCGTTTGGCTTCCTGACTGATCTTTCTGGGGCCTTCTCTAGTTGACTTAGAGTAGGACCGGAGTGGCGATGACGATAACTAGAAACATTTCCTCTGCTCTGGGTGGCTCTGACCTCACAAAATCATCAGGGAGGTGAGAGTTACTGGCGTCAAAAGTAAACGGAAAAGTAACTGAAGGCCATGGCAGACTAGAGTCAAACCATCAGTGTCTCGCCCCTGACGTCGAAGCGTTTAGGACACGCTGTTTGAAGATGGAAAACCCCTTCTTACGCAAAACAGATGGGTGCCCAAGAGCTCAGAGAGGGAAGAAAGCAAGGGGAAGTGGTAAGCGAAGGCTCGGGACGATGGGGGAAAAGCCGAAGGCCTTGCTGGGGAGGGGCTCTCCTTACCTCCTATTGTGGAACAATGGAAGCAAAATGTTGGAAGTAAAAGGCAGCCACCCATGAAGGCAGGCGTCAACAGAGAGTGGAAATGTAAGTGCAGATATGGCTTGAGGCTATTTTGTTCCCTAAAACTCCTGCAGGGGCTTAACACTTCCAAACCATATGTTAATGGTAGCAAGAGGGTAGAAACTTAATTTCAGTATGGTGGCTAACACTGGGGCTTTTGGAAAATTATCAGATTAGACAAAGTCATCAGGTTGAAGCCGCCATGGTCTTTTGTGGTCCCTTTATAAGAAGAGGGAGAGAGCCCACACAGACAGACAGATACCCATGAGATGTCACAGACAGACAGATACCTATGAGATGTCACTGAGGCAGGGGCTCACCAGAGCCTGAGTGTACTGCCTGGCTTCCAGGCCCCCCCCCCCATGCTACCAGCTAAATATGCCCGCTTCATTATCAAGCATGCTGCACCATGTATTTTGTTATGGTAATGTATCAGTTATTTTTTCTCAGAATGCCTGACCAGAAACAACTTAAGGAAGAAAAAAAAAAAATCTTACATTGGCTTACACAGCTGGGCGATACATTCTGCCGTGGTAGGGAAGACATGGACTTAGGAACAGGAGGCAGCAAGAAACAGAGAGTAGGCCCTAATCATGAGTTGACTTCAAACCCAGGCTAGTTCCAGGACATCCAGGACTACACAGAGAAACCTTATCTCAAAACAAAACAAAACAAACAGAAAAACAAAAACAAAAAAAGAGAGAAGAAAATTAAGTCAACTCATGGAATGATGTCCCCTCCCAACCCCCATTACCACGGTGTCTGCTCTGCCAGCCGGCCACCCTTTCCCACAGAGCCTCAGTTTGCACTGCATCCTTCCTGGGAGGTGGCCTGATGACAGAGTCCCTCAGCTGGCCGCCTTTTCATTTATGGTTCACAGTCTGGTGCAGCTTCCGTGTCACAAACGTGGAGCTGTTGCTCCGGGAAGGTGGCTGGTGCTGTGGCTCTCACAGTTCACCGGGACCTCTCCTGTCATGACTGACTACCTCAGATGCTACAGGAAGTGGAGGCTGTGGATACTGCCCTCCCACTTGTGAAGTAACAGCAGTGCAGAGACCCAGCCCTGCAGTCGGTAAGTCCTGGGGTGGTGACAGTGGCTGGGAAAGGGGCAGGCCACAGCGCTCAGATCCTGGAAGACCCCAGATGAGCCCTGGGATCCAGAGGCATGACTTCAGCCTTCCCCTTGCCCACCAGAGGCCTTGAGGACAGCTCTTCTGAGCCTGACCATGGTGGGGAGGCGAGGGTTATCTGGGCCAGAGTTCCACACCGCATTGTTCCCTTAAGCACAATGCTTACCCAGTGTGACATCTACCAGGCCTTTTAAAGCCTGAGCACCCAGGGAGTCTCGTGATGACACTACTGGAAAACATACATGCTGGATACACATGCATACTACACACATATATGCTACATATACACACACAACTCAACATAAGCACACACCACACACACATATGTAATAGACACACACGGGCATGAACACGCATGCCACACTATCACATACACTACACACATATAATTGTATAGACACATACTCACAGGTGTATGCATACTAGCACACTCCAGACACGTGTACATATCACACGTGTGCATGTGCACACACACGTATCACACCAACAGGACACACAGTCTCTCACACAGGTGAGTCTGGAAGTAGATTTATCTTCTTTAGCTAAGGGATTAGCCTAGGCAAGAAGAGACAGACAAAGCTGGCCCCTGCAGATAGCCCTGGGAATTTCCCCCAGAGCTCCAGCCATACCTGGACCTGTTGGATCTCACAGCCGCCATGGAGGCCCAGAGAGTGTGTGAGACTCTAGAGCCAATGCTGGAGGCCTGTGTACCTGTACCTGTTCTTTAATCACCTGACCACCCCCCTCCCTCTTCTCAGCCCTGGGTATCCTTAGCATGACCCACGGTTCTCCCCGAAGGTTCCAAGGTGCCTCTCCTTGATGGGCGTCAGTACAGAAGGGCTCTGACTGGGGAGTTTTGAAACAGTTTTCTTCCAGATACTCTAGACTGGGGGGGCCAGAGGGGGAGGCCACAGGATCCATACCAGGGCTGGGGTCAGGTAGAGCCATTCCCCTGCAGCTTGGAAAAACCTAACGCGGAGGTGTCCTCTGTGAGAGTTACAGGGACAGGGCCCCCACTTGGCCCCTTGGAGGCCTTGGCTCAGCTGGAGGTTCTTCAGCTCCTTATCAGCTGTTTCTAGGGACTTCTCTGGCAGGCACACCTTTGTCTGGTGCTTCCTCGTCTGACCCAGCTCCCGGGAAGGAG